TAAAAGGGTGTCTGGGGGCCATACTCTTGGGGCTTCTCCAGTCTCCTTTAAGGCCAGTAAATCTGGTCTTTTTTCTGTGAGTTAAAATTATGCTCTACATCCTTCTCCAGCTCTGTCCATAACCCTCTGTTGTGATCCTGGTCAGAGCAGTCAGTGGTGGTAGCCGGGCACCATCTAGCTGTACTGGACTCAGTCTGGTGGAGGCCTTGGTAGCTGTGGACAATTAGTCCTTTGGACTAATCTTTTCCTTGTATCCTGTTCTCTTCATTCTCCCTTGCTCCCGAAGGGATGAGACCAGTGGAGTATCTTAGATGGCCGCTCACAGGCTTTTTTTAAGACCCCAGACACTACTCACCAAGGTAGAATGTAGAGCATTGTCTTCATAAGCTGTGTAACACTTCTCTTAATTGTCTTGGATGAACTGTCATGATTAGGATAGTGGTAAGAGGACAAGTGCACAACTGGGAGCCCACCTGGCTCTCCCAGCCTAGCCAAGTGGTTACCGTGAAGCGGTATAGGATATGGGAGGCCAGGGAGGGAGAAGATAGGGGTGCTCAAGGAAACAATATATCCTTACACTAGCCCAGTAAAAAAGGCCAATGGCCCAAGGCACCTCATGGATTATTGCAAGTCACAGAGCTCATTGCTCAGACTGAAGTCACCTGGTGTATCATTGGCATTGCTAATGCCTTTTTTAAAGCATTCTGCTACATTCCAGAGGATGGAAATCAGTTTGTCTTCATTTGGCTTGGGTTACAATACACCCTTACAGTGCTGCCACAGGGCTACCTGAATTCCCCTGCTATTTGCCACTAATGGATAGCCAAGACCTAGAGAAGCTTGGGATCCCATCATAAGTTTCCTGGTATCATGATATTGACGACATAACTCTAATTGGAAAAACTAACTAGTGTGAATTGTCCTAGATGGGATGGCCCATTACCTGACCAAGGCTAGCAAATTAACAGAGGCCAGCCACATAAGCAAAGTTCTTAGGAGCCATGTGGGCCAACGCCCAGAGGACCGTCCCTGAGCCTGTCAAAGGAAACCGCTGGACTTGAAATCTTCAGCAAACCAAAAGGAGGTAAAACATCTGATAGGCATTTTGGGTATGGAGATAGTTCATATCTCAACAGGTTTTCTGCTCAGCCCATTGCATAAGGTTACTTGAAAGGCTGACACCTTTGAGTGAGGCCCTGAATAACGACAGGCCTTAGAAACTGCCCTCTTCTCGCTCAGGCCAATTAGTCCTATTGAGCCTTTCGAATTAAAAGTGTCAGTGACTGACCGACATACAGGCTGGAGACTGTGGAAGAAGGATGTTGCCCTGACTCAAAGGCTCCCCCTGGGTTTTTGGACGCAGCACTTGCCTGACACCTCTGCTCAGAAGACCCCATTTGAGGGGCAATTTCTGGCTTGTTATTGGGTGCTGGTGGTCACTGAGACACTAAGTGGCAACAGGTGTTTTTAATCATCCTGCATACATCCTCATTTTGGGGTGGGGCTGGAGTAAAAACACCAATAAAACAGGTATTGCCTCCAGATGGGGAGCCTGGCTTTGGTCTGTCTTCCAAGTGGGCCTGACCATCCTGCTGGACGTCATCATTGTCGTCACTCTCATCTGATGTTACTTAAAACAAATAGAATTTAGTCCAAGCCCTATCAGTACAATTTTTTGAGGTATCTGATAGGGTGGCTTGTGCTCCTGAAAATAATTCTTAGCTGAATACATGAAAGGTCGGGGGAGGGGGGTGGAGTTGTAGGGGAATGGCTCAATCCCGACACAGCACCCTGATGACTTTGCACAGCTCCCCAGAGGCCACCTAGGCAAGGCTTGACCAGTCTGAATCACGTCTTGGCAGAATGTACTATGTATGATTCGTCCTGCAACACTAGGCCCAGGATTCCTTCTAGAATAAAGGGAGATAAGTAGCCTGGGGAGCAGCTGCCATGAGGCAGTTTCTCATCTGCTTCCCTACCTTGTGGAAGCCTGCCATAAAGCCATTTCTCATCCGACTTCCTAGTTTTGGTTGAACACAGGGCTTTCCACCTGCCCCCGCCCCCCTTTACCCAGGGTACAGCTGTAGGTCATAAAATTGCTTGATTGTAGTTTAAATTTGGTTTCTCAGCATCAGCCTCACCTACTGCCATGCCTCCTGTCCAGTGTCATCCTGTGAGACTAGGGATATGGGGAGTTGACGGCATGCTGATCTTGCTTTTGCTGTCTAAAGCATAAACTGTCTGGATCCATCTGGGCTCATTGTCTCCTTACCAGCTGAATCTACCAAGTATGACAAGCCCACCTAGCGGCTGCAGTAGTGATCTTTGTGACCCTGTTAGCCACCACGCTGCTGCTTAGGGATTGTTTGCCCACTTGTCAGAGGGAACCTTCTGGGGGGAAAAGAATGTTGTATGTTTTTATCTGTGGGTCGTAGTGACATTTGTGTATACATTTGTCCAAACTCATCAAGCTGTACACTTAAGATTTGTGCCATATACTGTTAAGTTATACCTCAGTTTTTTTTTTTTTAAAAAAGAAACCACCAGAGAACAAACTGGAATATTAAGATTATGATTGCCAAAATGAAAAATTCAGTAGAAGAGTTGGGAGATAAACTGGAGGAATCTCCCAGAACACAGCGCAAAACACAAAGAGGACGATGAATCCAGTAGGTCTAACATCTTAGCAACAGGTATTCCAGTTAGTAAGTAAACCTGGAACAATGTTCTTGATAGTGGTCAAAGAAATGGGAGTTAAACGATACGGCATTTTATATCTGATTAATCAACTGAAACATTGTTTAAGCCCTATTCGACAGTTTGTTAGCGACAGAGTAAACTGGCAAAATCCTTTTGAGGAGCAAGAGAATACCAAGTATCATCAGCCGTATCAGTCCTTCATTTTTGCCCAGGTGACCTCGCTGTTGAATTTATCCTAAGGTAATAATTTAAAAAGAAGAAAAATGTGGAATTCGTGGAGCTATTCATTACAGTATGATGTATTACGCTGCAAATTGATACACAGTCTACATGCCCAGTAAAAGGAGAACCAAGAAAATGATGATCTTATTCACTGGATAGCAGAGGTCTGATGAGTGCAGTGTACCAACAGGAGGCAGCACGTCTTTGCCTTAGAAAGGAGAACTACCTAAAACTCGGGCTACCTACACCAGAACAGGGCGGGGCCGCCGAGAATGTACTCCACTGTTCGCTTGGAGAAATGGAGCAGGACTGTTTCCACCATTCCACTACTCTTTGATGGTGCGGTTTATCCCAGCGTAGGACAGAAAAAGTTGCGCACCCCTGCTCGCAGTTCCGCAGCGCGCAGAGGCCCCGGCTGCGGCTGCGCAGTGCGGCCGCGGGAGCTCGGCGCCGGGTCCACGGCGCCGGGAGCGCGAGCAGCTGGGTCTGAGCGGCGGGGGAGGCGGC